GGGGGAGCTTTTCCATTCTGTATTGAATTGATTTATATAATGTAATTATTATACTGAGATCTCTTTGAAAATCTTCTCGTTGCTCATGATAAAGTAGATGCATCTTTATTTTATTTTGCTAACATGCTTGTTTTTCATTAACTGATACCAACCAGCAGGACCATCTCTCCCCAGTGGTGTCTACCAGTCCTGTGAGATCCAGGAGAGGCATGCTCCAGGTCCTGTCCACAATCATGTCACCTGGTGTCACCTGGTGGGGCCCAGGAAGAGAGCCTCTGGAACATCATTCTCACAGAGATTAGACTTGCCCTGACCCTGGTGGCCTTTTGCATAGCATGGAAAACCTAGCTTTGCCATCAAGCCTGGGGCCCTTATAGAATGGGTGAGCCCATTTCTTGATCTTCATTATGTTAATTAAGTGTTCTTGGCTGCTATGTTATTTTAGGTTATCTCTGTTGCTTTAAACTTGATTGTTTTTCATTATGTTTTTATTCTGTTTTCAATTGTTAGCCACCCAGAGTCATGCATATGAGATGGGAGGCCCTATAAATTAAATAAAAAAACATGATAAATATGGTTCTCCCTTATGTATTCCAATGCTTTGTCACACTACAGGCCTTTCTTTTCTTTTACTGTTTGTGCAAATGGTAGCCCAACTGAATATGTTCTTCTGAGGAACGAAGGTGTAGGGCTATGCTACCTTTACCCTGCATGTTTTTTTTTTGAACAAATAACATTTCCTCTATCCAGAGTGAATGCCTCTTAGATTCCATGTTGTCTGGACAATTCTGACAATTTGGCAAAATCCTGATGTGGTAAAAAGGTCAATCCCACTTCGATCTGAAGCAAGACTGGACACAGTTAATACTTGGATGGGACACCCCATAAACCCCTTTAGGTGAGGTTGAGTATTCAATCTTAGATTCCATGTTGTCTGGACAATTCTGACAATTTGGCAAAATCCTGATGTGGTAAAAAGGTCAATCCCACTTCGATCTGAAGCAAGACTGGACACAGTTAATACTTGGATGGGACACCCCATAAACCCCTTTAGGTGAGGTTGAGTATTCAATAAACTTCTCAGAAGAAAACAGTGACAAACCACTTCTATATTGTTTGTATTGCTGCCAAGAAAAATCTGTTGATATGTCTATGAAGTCATCTGGACTTGAGCTCAGGTCAAAGGAAACTTTATCATTTTTTGGGTTCTTACTTTCTAAATATAGCAGAAATTAATAGAAAGGTTTGGACCAGGATCTAGTGAAAAATATGTCACTATTCTGAACTTTAGACTTTCCAGTAGTAATAGGTTAGTAGAAAAAAATTAAACAATGTTTGCTTTTAATATCTCCTTCTTAAAATAAACATATTTTTAAAAAGTGGACTGAACTTCACTAAGCTTTCCAGACACTGTTTTTTCGCTCAAAGTTTGCTAAGTTTAGATTCATGTACAAATGAAAAGCCATATTATTATTTCTTACTTTCTTATTATTTGTTGAACACTGCAGAAGGCTACATCTGATTATCTCATTATATGAATATGTATTAGGAAGACCTTCTTTTTCAGGCACATGCACATGTGTACTTTGTTTGCACAATCTGTATGTACAATAATGTAGTCAATTGAAAAAGTCCTAGTTCTTTGCTTCAAGGATGAGCAAAAAGAGGCACTAACAGAAGAACAAGAGGATTGTTCATTTATCTTAATTTATAAAGGCAATATATGATCATCCAAATGTGGCCCATTGCTCATTCAATGGATTTCCAGAAAAGAAAGCTTGTGCATACCTCTCAAAGACAAGACATTTGGGTGTCACAAACCATAACTTATTAATTACATCAGTTCCATAAATTGTCACTTTCCAATGGCAGCTTCTACCTATTGCCATTAGGGATACACTTACTTCATCTAATTTAAAGGAAGGCAATGGTTTTGTGGACTGGAATGTTCACCATGAAATTTACTTTTTAAGAGATTAAAGAATGCAAAATTGAAAAGTGGGCTAAAAATACAGGAAATAATTTCCTAACAAATAAATCATAACAAGATATTAAGCAATTACTTTGAAAAGCCTGAGAATGAAAAACGTTCAGGTAAAAGAAAAGGGCAGGTTTACCCATCAACCATACACCAAGGACATTTCAGTCACAAGGACATAGGCCAGGCTTCTTTTTATCTAGAAAAACATGACCGGTCCTCATCAGGACTTTGAGCACAGTATGTCTACTATTCAGGAAATTCCAACTCAGTGAGTTGTTACATTTGTTACTACAACATTTGAATTAAGTTATTTTCATGTAAAGAGAAGACCCTGTTTGTATGATGCTGGTCATATTTGTCTAACTTTTTTTTCTGAGTACAATTACCATAAAAAGGCAGAAAACTAAATTTATCTTCTGCTTGAGGTTAGTGTCAAGTCAGGATAAGAACTTGATGCAAACTGAACATTTGGGGTTATGCATAAATCAATGTGAAGGACATTGAACAATCTTGATTTGGATCTGTCAGAGCCCTGCCATTCATGGAGGAACTTTGAATCAACAAATAGAAAGGGGATGGAATACATATTGTACCAACATTTTGCCTCAACCCATTTCTATTTGCGGAAGCCTCAACAGGATTGAAACCTTTTCCTTGAATGGAAGACCTCAACTGAATTCTGCTCCATACTGTACATGATGGTTTCTCAACCTTGGCAACTTTAAGATGTGTGGACTTCAGCTCCCAGAATTCCCCTGCTGGCTGGGCAATTCTGGGACTTGAAGTCCACACATCTTAAAGTTGCCAAGGCTGAGAAACACTGTGGTACATTCTGTCTATCTGTCTGAAATATTTTAGGCCACCTTCAAGAATAAAAAATTCTCTGATGTAGTGATGTCCTCTTCCACCATATTTGAGAATTGAATTACATTTAATAATGTATCAGCTGTCTTTATGGCTCAAGTATCACCTAAGGAAGTAAACATAACAAAAGCATAAAAATAAAATACAACCCTTGCTATCAGTTGACAAAGGAGCAGAGTCCTTTCTAGTATATCTTAACTTTCAGGCGTATTCATACAAGGGCAATTTATTCTTAAAAGAACTTGGTCACACACTGTGTAGGACTTCAGTGATCAAAAGAAAGCACTTTGATTGAGTCTGGGAATTAATAGACATGGACATGACATAAATTTAAAGTCTGTTACGTGAGTGTTCCTCAGACTTCGCAACTTTAAGATATGTGGACTTCAACTCCCAGAATTGCCCAGCCAACATGGCTGGCTGGGGAATTCTGGGAGTTGAAGTCCACATATCTTAAAGTTGCAAAAGTTGAGGAACACTGTGTTAAGTGACTTGTGTTCCCTGCCTATTTTTCCCCACCAGCACCCAGACCATTTTATGGGCCACTAGGTGAAAATTCTGAATTCCATTAAGCAGCAATCCAATGTACTTTTCTGCCATAGCTAAATGAACTTGCAACATGGTCATGTCCTTCTTTTAACCCATGCTTCTCATTCCCTCAGAAATGGTAGGGTTCTTCTCTGCCATTGGCCTTCAAAGCTATTTCATAAATATTGTTCCATGGACATATTGTTTCAACAGACAACTCCAAATATCCAGATTGTTGGAGAGCCAAGCTATGAACAGAATACATATTCATTATTTTCAAATCCACTGGTGGCTTTAAAGCTGAGTTGGGAACATGTGGTCCTCCAGATATTGCTAAATTCCAACTCCTGGCAGCACTAGCGAGGATGGCCAAAGGTAAGGTGTGCTGGGGGTTGTCATTCAACATCTAGAAAATCACCCCTTCTTTAAGGGACTTCACTCACATGTGATATTTCTCTTATAATATAAGCAATTAATGTTTTTCCACCATAGCATCAGTATTGTGCCTAATGAGAAGTTGGCAGAAAATGGCGCTGAAGCATCCGATAGATTTCTAGGTTATTTGCAAAAAATCACCAAGGATTTCTTATTCCAAATTGCTTAATAATAATAACAGCAATACGTCCATCCATGGCCTTATCTCATCCTGCTGAAAAGCTTGGTATAATTAAAAGTGTTTGGAGGGAAGAAAGTTTCATACACCCAGAGAGAAAAATCTGTATGGTTTAACATTCAGGGATGTGCATCACCAACAGCAGCTCCTGGTGGGACAGCCCAAGTGTACAGCTACCTTCCTGAGCACTGAGCTGAGTCCCCCCTTCTTCATCCTAGGATGCCCAAGCACTAATAAACAGGAATAAAATACACCAAAGCTTTTAGAGAATATTTCATTCTTCCTGCAAGCAGCCATTTTCCCTTCAGTGAGTCAGTAATTTAAGACCATCAGTCACAACGATTGTAAAATAAATTTACAGTTAAATAAATTGCAGCATTATATTTTTATTAACAGCTTCCAAAATAGTAGCCATTTTAATCTTTTGCATCAAGGACAACAAGCGCTGTGATAACTTAAAACATGTAATCTATTTATTATCTTCAGTCTGGGAGACTCCAAACTGAAGAAATCATAGCAAAAATGCTTAACATTAGCATTTTTAAAGGAAAATATGTAGTTTTACATAGAAATCATGTTTGTCCAATCTTTTTTCAAAGACAACCTGACTATTGATACAATACAAATAAGGTCAACAATAAAATTGGGGGGGGGGGAACCCCAACTCTTATTTCCTGCCTTTAGCCGAATTGGGAAGACAAATGAAATGCTATTCGTGATTGTCACGGACATCCTGAAGTGATTATACGGACTTTTGCAATCAAAATATTTCACCCCGTGCCATTTGTTTCTAATATGAAGCTGATCTAACTTAATAGAAATGTGAGTAAGCATCCACTGATATCAAGTGCTATGAATAAGAGCACTTGGTAAAGGATTTGGTTACAACCGGAAGGTTATGGCCGCATATACAAACTGAGACTGCTAGAAATGTATATTATATAACTGATTTGGAGATCAGAGTTTTTAAAATTGAAACACAAAGAGTTGTTTGTCTGTTTGTTTGTTTTGTTTTGTGTGTTAATTTCTGCTTTGCTTTAAGAACAAAGCATAGTCCATCAGCACCAAAAATACTGCCTGTTACATGGTTTCAGAATAGAGTCCCTAGTAGTGCAAGAAGGAGACAAAACCTTCACAGAACACGTCTGACAAGAGACATCAATTTGATATATAGCATTCCTTCTGTGTTTCAATGAGGATGTGAGTATTCACTTGAACACAGATTCTCCTCCCCACCAGTCAAGACATTGCAGACCATCTTGCTTTCTGGCTCTGCCTACTGACAGTCACATCTTCACTGTTAGATGTGTAGAACCTTCTCTGTGTGAATAGGACTCCTAGACCAAACAGCATTCCTGACTGTTAGAAGAGTCTACATGAATAGAATTATTTCCAACAAGTGGCAAATTTCAACGAGTCAGTTTATTATTTTTACCCAAAGCTATTCAAAGTGTTAACTTCAA